AATCATCAGTTTAAATCAAACCTCGTTTATCAAAACAATATTCTACATCAGGAACATCTGAAGGTTTTTATTTTCTATTTAAAGGATTTGTTTCCTGTTGATAGAACTCCCCCCCCCCTCTCCTCTCTCCCGGCTCCTCACCTCCGTACTCCCCGGGTTCTCCGCTCAGCAGCCCGGCTCCCTCCGCTGCGGCTGCGGCGTTCTGCAGCAGCATGTGCAGCTCCTCCAGCTTCTGGTAACTGTCCAGCGGGGACAGAGGAGGCAGGAAGCCGGTTAGCGGCTCAGAGATCTGCAGGGCGGACAACAGCACCTCCGCTTTGGTCGCTGCCATCTCTGCGGAGGAGGAAGAGTCGGACGCGGCGACAGAGGAGCTCAGCGGCCGCTCTCGGAGCTCCGGAGCAGCGAGCTGTTTCTGCGGGAGGACCGAGCCGCTCTGTCGGGGCGGACGCTGCTGCGGGCCGTGAGGCTCGGGGGAAGCCAACGCTGGAGGCTCGAGAGCTCCGGGTCCCGCTGGAGAAGTGTTGGATGTTTAGTGCAGGACGCGGAGCTGCGGAATCCCAGCGCCCAGTGAACGTGTCATGTAGAGTGTCACTTTGTGAATGAAGCTCGCGCTTTATAAACACTCCTGCGTGACGTATGCTCCCGAATATGGCGCGAAGGAAGCCCATATATGGACCGACCGGTGAGCGTGCACACTGGTCTGAACCCGGAAGCTCCCTGCTCTCTGCGCCTCGTGCTGCGGCTTCAGTCCGGACCGGGGCCGCGGTCCACCGGACAGACCGCGGCCGGTGGACGACAGATACACACACAGACAGCCGCCATGACCGGAAACCCCGAGCAAACGTCACAGCTCCGCTCAGCTGTTATAGGCGCTACGTCACATGGACAGCTTCCAGCTACGTCATTACTTCCTCCAGCCATATTTGGATGGTTTCCTGTGGGACTGCCGGTGTGGGCCCCGCCCCGCAGATCAACCTCTGCAGCTGGAAACATCTGTCCGTTTTTATTTCATTTAATAATTGTTTACGTTACATTTAAAATAAGTTACATTCAATTACTCAGAGTTTGTGGTCAGATCATATTTTGGGTCAACCTGCCCCGTAGTACCCAAAGTACTCACAGTACCACAGACTGTCTGCATCTACTTCACTTACTGATACTCGTGTACTGGCTGACAGCCCCCCCCCCCTCTGGGACTCGAACATTCTCCAAAGTGACTGTACACTGTTGTGTGGTGCACACTCTCCTTAAAGGGACGGATCAGGGAAGTTAAGCAGCGTGTGGTTGGTTCAGTTGATCTCAGTCAGGACGTCTCAGTCTCTCTGTCTCCAGATGCTCCGACTCGTCCTGTCCCCAAAACAACAAATGCTCTCAGTCAGGTCCTGAAAATAGGTCCATGTGTTTTTATTGAGTAGTGATGTCAGAGGTTTCCACCACAGTGTGTCCTCAGAGACAGTGTGTCCTCAGAGACAGTG